TACCGTACGCTGGCGGCCTGTGAAACGAGTCTTGACAGACAATCCAGTGCCACGATAGCACAGTTACTGAGTTTGTTGAAACTAGAAACGATACGTTAATTTTGAATTACTGTTAAAAATGGCAATAAATTCACGCACCCTATGCTGGTATTAGCTCCATCTCTGTTGTGTTGTTGCAAAGATATGATCGTTGTTGTAGGTGTCACACACCAGTAGGCTATCACCACACTGTGTCCGGTGTCACCCTTGGAGTTGGGTGTGGCAGAATCGGCACCATCATGCACGAGACAATGCACGCCCTGGGCTTCTGGCACGAGCAGAGCCGCCCCGATAGAGACAGCTACGTCACCATCGACTTTAGCAACATCCAGAGCGGTATATCATGAGTGAACAGAAATAAAAAATGCAGTTATTGTCTTAAAGTTAATTTTTAGTAAGTAACCTCCCGAAAAGTGAGCTGAGTTATCAACAATAATTCACCCGATCTGAAAGTTCAGCTTATCATAAAGTAACATATTTCTCTACGATAATGGTTTCCGGTCTCTTGTTTCAATGACGGTGATGTTGCAGGGCACGAACGCAACTTCGACAAGTACACCACCACACAGGTTGACACTCTTGGACTCCAGTACGACTACGAGTCCGTCATGCACTACAACGCCTACAGCTTCGCCGTCGACCGTAGGAAGCCAACTATTATTGTCAAGCAGAAGGGAGCAATCATTGGACAGAGAACTCACCTGAGTCCTTTTGACATTAAGGAGATCCAGATGTACTATGGTTGTTTGGCTTCCCAGGGCTCCCTCACCACGCCAGCTCGTAAGTCAACTAAAAACTTCAGCATAAAGGATAGTTATTCCTATGAATGTAAATCACGTTGAACTGAGGAGCGCTACTTGTGGTTGTGTTACTTATTTTTGTATTTCCACCATACAAAAATGAAATGATTATTCGATGGTGATTTATTTGATACGGGTATTATAGGCGATATTCCATGTATCATGTCATTGAGAATATGTGACTCACAAGAGGTAACGTGAACATGACGTCTTTAGGAACACGGGGGTCGCAATTTCACAGTACACGGTAATGAGCAGAGTGAAGCAGGTATTAGTTAAACTTTTTTGTGTTATTTCTACCTCTTAGAAACGGTAACAGCGTTAACTGTAAATTCTTGAATTTTGATAATTGCTTTGTTGATTGTTGACATTGTACTGTAGAAATAAACATTACAAACTTTTCATTGTGGTCAAATAAAATGTGTTTCAGCTGCAACTCTGTCACCTGTCCAAGGTAAGTAACGATAACATCTTCATCTTTAAACACTTTTATTCAGGGATAAGGTCGTGATAGTGCCTTTTGTTCATGTGCTTCTTAGTTTTGTACTGTAAAAAAATCACATTATAAATCCCAACAATAAACATCAAGCAGATTGTATGAAATAACTTCCATAGCAGACACCAGTTTGTCTCAGCACATATCCCTGAACCCTTTTCTCTGTTTGTAATTAGCTGCTGAAACCTGTACCTTCCAATCCGACTTCTGCACATGGAGCAACGTTGGAGGAGACACCATGAATTGGCTACGTCACCAGGGCAAAACCCCCAGTGTAGGGACTGGTCCCACCTCCGACCACTCGGGATCATCAACAGGTCAGTCTGTGACTACTACTACTACTACTACTACTACTACTTCTACTTCTACTACTACTACTACTATCCATTCAGGTCTTTCTTAAATACCTTAAAATAATGATGTGTTTCAATGACAAGGTTTACTGAGGAATATGCTAATAATAATAATAATAATAATAATAATAAAATAAAATAGTAGTAATAATAATAGTAATGATAATAATATGTTTTTTATTATTAAGTATATCAATAAAAGTGTGAACTTCCATCCAAGCATTTCTTAAATACTTAAAAAACACACACTTTATTTTCATGTTTTTATTTTGTAAATAACAGTCATGTTTAAATTTTGCCTTGAAAAGGTTACTACGCCTACCTTGAAGCATCAGGACACAACAGACAGAAGGGGTACCTGCTGTCTCGCCTTTTGCCCGCGGGACACTACTGTTTTAGCATGTACTACTACATGAGCGGCCAAGATGAAGGTAGCCTTAAAGTCGAGGCTGTTTTGTCAGGCAACACAAGGAGAGTTATTCATACCGTTACTGGTAACCAGGGCAACACGTGGCATCATTACCTCGTTAACGTGAATCTGAACGGAGGCAACTTTCACGTAAGAATTCATTATGGAAATAAAAATACAGATGCAGTTCGGGTACAGTTGATCATTTATCATCCGAACTGAGACCATTGCTCAATATTTTTATCCGTTTTATTTTTTCCAAGTTTAATGACAGTTTGCCGTATTAGATATGTATTTGTTTTAAATTGCCTATAGTTTCTCAGAAAAAAATCCACATCAGATTGACATTCTGTATAATGAATTTTTGTTGTATCTCCAGCTCGAAATCGAAGGTGACGTCGGAAATAACTACAGAAGCGACATTGCCATCGATGACATCACAATCCATAGCGGTGACTGTTCCACTCTTCCCGCTGCCGGTTAGAGGGCCGTGGAAGCAGGATTCATCGACATCTAAAATATAGCAACAATATCAAGCCAATAAACATATCGAACTTTTGATACGGAGTTGTCATTGGTTATTAAGTTAGAACAATGGTCTGTCTTCAACTATATACCATAGCCATCGGTTCATAAAAGAGTAACGACATGGGTGCCCGATTCTCGATTCGATTCTCATGATGTCAATCACTAGATTTTCTGGTCCAGACTCGAATATTCATAGATCGCCGTCATATAGCTTGAATATTAGCGAGTGCGGCGTTAAACAACAGACAAATAAAAAATCCATTATCTGTCATCTCCCCCTAATTCCGCCCTCCCATGTCAAACGCGGTATTCGTCCTTTTTTCCAGCCCTGTATTTCTCCAGCCCTTATTTTCTCTCTTTTGGGAACAAATGCAGAGCCAAGGTTGGTCATTAATCACCAGCTTTCCCCATGTTGGCAAGCTCAGAGCTGAACTTCAAACATCACAATCTCTGCTCAGATCCGAGGAAAATTCCTGTAACTGAAGAATTTAATAAACATGTACTCTTCAATAAAAAAAAGAAACGTAAAGCCAGATTTGTGTGTAGAAAAATACATATATACGAGGAAATTACAAGGTATTGAGACAAAATGTTGTGGAGAGAACACATGGTGATTGTAATCATCTTAGTTATCAGTACATAGGAAATGTCCAAGGTAAAGGTCAGCTACCGACAATAACGCGTTTGGCCCCCGTTGACATCTCCTGTCCATGGAAGAGACGAGTATGCGAATCACATCGTTGGGAATGGTAGCCCTCTCAACCAGCAACGCAAATCCAAACTGCTGCAACGTCTAAGGTTGTGGTTGACGTCGGCGAAGCCGTCTATCCAAATTTATCCCACAGGTGCTCTATCGGGTTGAAATCTGGGGATCTGGAGGGCCAGGGGAGAACATCAACGTTGTTGTTGTGTAGACAGGCTCTTATGATCCGTGCTGTATGCGATCGAGCGTTGTCCTGCTGGAATACACCGTTGCCGTTGGCTGCAATTGGGATGACGTGTGGTAGGAGATTTTCGTCAATGTATCGTTGGTCGTAAGATTGCCCTGGATATGGACCAAACATGTCCTGCAATGATGAGAGACAGCCGCCCACATCATAACACTACCCCAACCAAACCTGTCCACTTGTACGCAGTTTCCGACGTAACGTTCTCGCCGACGTCAGTAGACCCGTGCTCTTCCATCTCCCCCACGGAGAAGAAATCTTGATTCGTCGCTGAACCAGACATCTCTCCATCGCAGTTAAGGCCATACCCTGTGTTGACGACACCAATGTAGTCGTTGTTGACGATGTTGTCGACTCAGTATGACGCGTCGAACAGGACGTTTTGCTCGTAAACCTGCTGCTCTTAAACGGTTTCGTACGGTCTGGTCGGAGATTCTGCGCAGTCCGGGTATGCAGTCGGATGTAGCGATCTTGGGCGGGGGTGGTCGTCTCGACCTTAGCCGATCACGTGTTGACCCATGTTGTTGAAACCAATCCCATAGCCTTGTGATGGTGCTGGGCGCGTCATTGTAAACCCCGGCTACAGCTGATCGGGATTCCCCTACCTGAAAGCGGCCTATGACGTTTCTTTGCACTTCTGTTAATCTTGGCATGTTGTTGAACTGTCACTGTTCGATTGACGCAGATGCCAGGCAATCAAAAAACCTGTACTTTAATACCGTTCAAAGTGCTGCTGCACGTGCAGTGCGTACAGCTCCAAGGCCCTTTTGTTAAATGCACTGGGTGCGATTTTCCGAATCCTACGTGTTTCCCGACTAATGGTTTGCATGTCCTTGTTGCGATCATTTTGATCCGGGAAATTTGTCACTGACACTTTAACATATTAAACCTCTTCATTTTGCACCTCTTTTATTGACAAAAATATCCGTATTGCGTTTCTTTTTTTGAAGAGTATATATTGGAAAACAGTGTCGGGTAGCAAAAGCATGAGAACTTTAATGAGTTGGGTTTACGCCGCTTTTAACAATATTCTAGCTCCTGAAATGGGCTTCACATATTGTACTCATGTGGGGAATCGAACTCAGGCCTATGGCGAGAGAACGGTGAAGCCATAATTATACCTTTACTGTCCAGGCCCCGTGAAGATCCGGGTTAGAATTAATCTGCAGCTATCTGTGCTTGTAGTAAGAGGTGAATAACGGGATCGGATGGTCAGGCTGACTGACCTGGGTGACTATGTACACACATCACATCCCAGAGACGTGACTGCTCTACCGGACAGTGGTTTCGAAGTTGTACACATCTACAACCTGTGACTTGTGTTTTCCATCGCTCATTAAAATAACCTAAACTCAGCTCTTATCAAGCACACCAACAAACTGGGCTTCTTACACCGACTGCGAGATATCTATGAGACCATGTGACACATTCCCATTATTATGTCAGGAAAAATCTGGAATGTGGACATATTTATATAACTCTGACTTCTATTGAAGAGACATGTTGAGGGTTCTCCTCGCCTTGTGTTTGGGGTATACCCTTGCTGTGCCTATTGAGCAGGTATTTGGGGACATCTTTCTTTTAACTGCATTTCTGTTTTAGTTCCCTTGTAAAAAAGTATATTCGTAACAACGCATTTTATACACACTTTTATGTATATGCAGTGCTGTGCTGTGCTTTATTGGTAAGAGAGACAATAACATCTTTTTTCGAAATGTTCTGTGAAGTTTAAACATTGATATGGTTAACAAATTCGACATGACACAAGGGAAGTGTCGAAAGAAGCGAGTTCGAACGTGTTAGTTCATTCATATTTCCAGGTTAACTCAAACATTTGTGCTTTTAGAAGTGTATTAGGAAAAGACATTTGCGGGGATATGAAGAACCGGGCTTTGTCCGTCACGTTTCGTTTCCAGAACATTATTCATAAACCGTTTAAAATATCTCCATCTTTGTAATGCACCTCACGTCAAATGAGGGTAGTGTTCATGTTTGGAGCATAACTCACAAACCGTTTCATATTTCTTCATGAAACTTTGTATACACATCAGGCATGCTCTGAACTAAGGTCCTTTTTATTTAGGGAATGTTTGAATTTTTAAATGTTTTTTTTTCTCGTTTCCAAGAAAACATTTTCAAATACAAAATAGGGATCGTTTCAGGATTATAACTCGTTAACAGTTATTATTACTTTGTGAAACGTTTATACACATCAGGCAAGCACTGAACTGGGCATTTTGTTAATTAGAAGGTTTTGATTTTTTATTATTGTATTTGCATTCAAAGGCAACACATAGAAATGAAGGTTACGAGTAGGGTTCGTGTCGTTGCGTAAATCATTAACTGTACATTTTTGTGAAACTAAGCATGTCCATTAGGCACATGTTGAACTGATGCCTTTTGCTACTTTTTAAAAATTGTTTAGATGTTTTTGTTTATCAGGCAAAAACAACCTGGACTCAAACGCAGTAGCTCAAAACTCATTGAATGTTTCTTCATGAAATTTGGTAAGCTCAGATATCATGTGGTTCCCTGTAACCGATGCTTGTTTTGAGAGGTGACTAAGTGGATCGGTAGGTCAGAATTGGTGACTTGGTTGATTGTGTGACTTCGTACCCTGGCAGAGTTAAATTAAAGAATAGTTTAATTTTATGTTGTTATTTTGTTAAGGAATGATAATTAAGAGTTTTGAAAATACTATATGTAACATTGCTATCAAATGAACTTTTTCCTATGGAAAAGTGTCATTACTAATTCACGTCATTGGAAGGTATAAAAGCATTTTAAAGAATAGAGGATATAATTCGTTGTACTTTCAGTAACCAGTCATAATGTCAAATGTGCTAACATTTATAGGATTAACCATTTCTGGTATAATGAGATCAATGTCATATCTTGTGTGTCATATTATGCACATATTCATAAGGACGGGAAATATCGATAGTTTTTTTCTTCTTGTAATTGAAACACCATCACAACTTATTTTAAGGAAAGATTGCAGAAATATAGCCTCGATTAGGCTCCTTTTCCCAATGCGATAATCGATCTTATGACGTTTGTGTTAAAGGAATCAGAGTTACCAAAATCGCTTTGTGGAACGGGTAACAGACGTATATGCTAATTTAACTCACGCAACTGACATTAATATGTCTGAGTCACATTTTAAAGTTTTTCAAACGATTTGAAATACGTTCACACCAAATTAGATAGTAGTCCAAACACAACCGTATATCTTAATTGTATCCTACTATAATTATGCTTATCTCTCTTAACCACCAGGCCCCTGCATTCGATCGTAAGTATTTTGGTATTAATTATATATTCAACACAAGGAACAAACATTAAGGGCATGTGGCCCAGCGTGAAAGGCACAAAATGTATTCATATTTAGCATAACTTACCAGAAAATCTAAATGTATGTATCCTTATGGAAAACATGTCAAAACCTGTAATACCCTCACACTAATTTCAACGTGAATAAAAATAACTAAAATTAATAAAGGGAAAAAATATGGAAGTTATGAAACATATAATGTTTATTCCTGTTCCACATGATGATCAATTTTAAAATGAATATTGTGATATTGTTTATATTTACTTACAGCGGCATATCCTGAGGAAAACCCTGGTGAGTTATGATTGAACATTAAACGATATGATTTTACCCTGTAGTGTAATTTAACACCTACACGTAGGTGATATAATGCACCTATTATTGATTGTTTGGATATTACCAAAAGTGGTAAATGTCTAAGAATGTCGAACATTTCTGACATGCCCTGATACAACGGAAATACTGTACAAAGCGGCCTTCAAATCCACACACTCACGTACATTATCCAGGATAAACAGCTGTGCTTTTGACCCACACCCAAGTTCTTTAGGCAAGGGAAGATACCAGAAGTGAATAACGTCAATGGTGTGGTAACATGTGCACAATCATCCATAGGTCTGAGCACGAGATCCCATGCATATGATAAACCTTATATCTTCCCCCACACAGGTCTCTTTGAGGGTGACATCATTCTTCATCCGGGACAAAACCCTAAGGTAACCATTCATCTGTTCTTTACATATCACTGTCAAATTAGTTGAATAAAAACAGTTTTCAATTAAATGACGCATTATTTGAACAAGAAATTCCACAACTTAAAGTAAATCAACCCCAAACTGAATTTAACATATTTTTTCCTTTGAAGAACCGAAATGCTCAAAGGAACAGGAATTATAGGTGGCCGAACGGCGTCATCCCCTACGTCATAGACACCAACCATTTCAGTGAGTACTGTTTGCAGTATACCAAAGCTGTAGCTAGGCGTGTTAGAACGTTAGCAGGTCGACTGAAAATTGAGATCTTTGAATGAAACTTTCTTTAATTTACAAAATCTGTTAATTGACCTTCCTTTCTCCTTTTTTATTTTCTATTTCTGTACTCAACTTAATTAAGACAATCTTTAATAAATGGATTTTACTATCATGGACATCTTTTAGTACACAGATTTTGTAACTTTCTGAAACGATTTTTCGATTTCTTAGTGAAATGGAAATATTGGAGGTTTTGAGAAATCTTAATGTTGTTGTAAAGTGTTTCAATATCCTTACCTATTGACATATTTCCTAAATATTTAGCTTGTTTTATTTATGAACTCAACTCAATTAAGACAATCTACAGACAAATCATGGACATCAACAAGGTTTTGCAACTTTTACCAAACTTTTTTTCGATTTCTTAGTACAAAGGACTTTTAAAGGTTTTTCGAAATCTGCTTATGTTGTTCTTGTAAACTGTTTCGCTTGATCGTCTCTGTGGTATTATCAAGAGTTGGTATTGTCTGTGGTATTATCTTTGTCAAGGCGCCCTTGAGCAGAAGACCATCCACCAAGCCATAAGCAACTTACAGGAGAAAACCAAGGTCAATGGTAAAGCGTGCCTGACATTCAAACCCCGTACCAACGAGACCGCCTACATCAAATACCAAGGAGGAAGCGGGTGTGTCCATGCTACACTATATTTTATGTTGCCAACGAACATATTCCTTCCACAGTGTCTCACGAAATCTGCAGTTCAGTCAACACCTGCTGCAGTAAATGTAGTACTGACAGAGATAATGGGACTCGTCAAGCGGGGCATAGTGATTTCAAAGTAGACACAATGTATGGATAACATCTTTTTACATTTTATATACTGTAAAGGCGACGTGTCGGTATAGATCTTTAAACAAGACTGACTATGGTAAAAGGACCTATACAGAAACGTCGAATTTTCGGGAAACAAAGAAGTTGTTATCCAAAATTGTATCTACTTATGTCATACTTCTAAGTATGCCTATCAAACAATTTCAGTATGGTGATATATTTGTATGATATATAGTGCAAATGCGATAAGAGAATGAGAAAAAATTACTTCTCGTGTAGACTAAAAGACGTAAATTGGCGCTGTCAAAATACAACAAACAAGTGGCAATGTGGGGTGCTTTTAAGAATCAGCTATCGACACGGGTTTTGTCCTTCGGTAGTTGGGGCGGTCGGGTGGTTAAAGCGTTCGCTCGTCACGCGGTTTATAACCAACGAATCAAGCCACGATCTGGTTCCAGTGATTACAAATTAGCGCTCAGATTACATCGCACAGACTGCAATGTCTCATGCAACACGTGCCATTTGCTTCACACATTGCTTCAGCATCAGGCAATAGTAGGTTTCACACAAAGTTAATGCATGGACTGGAGCTCATTTCATTTCCGTAAGTTTTAAACGGGTTTACAGTAAACTACGGTTATAACGAACTAAAAGAGACTACTAATTTTAGTTCGTTATAACCGTAATTCGTTATAAGCATATATACAGCATAACTACACCAAACAGTCGGGACTAAAAAGTTAGTTCGTTGTATCCGTCAGTTCGTTATAAGCGTGTTCGTTATAACCGTAGTTTACTGTATTTCATTAGTTGAATAAAACTAGACACGTCGCAACACCGCCGTATCATGGGGGTGGAGGAAAGTAGGGTATCTAATCCCGTGTGGTGCTGACGATGTGGATCAGTTAATATTGAGGACAGTCAATATGATGTAAAATTCAGTCCGAGATGAGATGAATTAAAGTGAGTGGGTGAGTTAGGTTTAACGCCGCTTCCAACAGTTATCCGGTTATATCACGGCGTGTCAGCTTAATGTGGGAGGAAAGCCCGAAGTGATGTAGGTCTCAGACGTTTACCACTTCGGTGAAACCCACGAGCACGGGTATGGTGCTGACAAACCTAGAAACATATTTGGGGCGAACCATGATTCGAACACCAATCATAGGTTTCTGGCGTGTCCAAGGGACGCAATTCTGCAGAGCGAATCGCAGCGCCTTAGACGACTGGGCCACCCGTGCCCCCTAAATTAAAGTGGAGTGAAGGGCTACAGTATGCATCATTCTTTTTTATTTACCCGGATAAAGACGGATTGACCATACTGCTAGCTTCATATTACCTCGGAACGGAGGCATGGGTGGTCTGGTGATCTGGAGCTGTGGCGAGTGGCGTCCGTGTTTTGTGGCAGGATCGGCTGAACGTTGGTTGGAATCTAATATTCGCCTCGGTTATGTTCCTTGGTCAACCGTATACCAGTACGTGTAGTATACACTAAAGTCGGAAACTTCTACGACCTGCACCATGTTGCATACATAAAGCTGACACGTCAACGCCAGAGAATAATCAGTGTCGATTATCTGCCGAAAAAGATTCCATGGGGCGTAACAGGCAAAATAGTGATGGAAATAATATGAATGGATCACTGAAAATCAGTGATGACACCAGGAAAAGGGTGAGCTTGTCCTGAAGCACTCGCTCACGCATAAACCTGTTCTGGTTGTTGCTCTATTTCTGTTGTGTTCTTGCAAAGTGAGTGAGTGAGTGGCTACGGCACTGCACATTGTACCCATGTCGGGAATCGAACCCGGGTCGTCGGCGTGACGAGCGAACGCTTCAACCACTGGGCCACCCGATCGCTTCTTGCAAAGATATGATCGTTGTTGTAGGTGTCACACACCAGTAGGCTATCACCACACTGTGTCGGGTGTCACACTTGGAGTTGGGTGTGGCAGAATCGGCACCATCATGCACGAGACAATGCACGCCCTGGGCTTCTGGCACGAGCAGAGCCGCCCCGACAGAGACAACTACGTCACCATCGACTTTAGCAACATCCAAACAGGTATATCGTAAGAGAACAGAAATTAATTATTTGAATGTTAACATTTCCAATTTAACTTCCTGATAAGTAAGCTAAGTTAATCAATTCAGTTCTCTTGTGAATTAATACACTAGATCTGCAAATTCAGCTCATCATAAAGTAAAAAGCTTCATTTTATACTTCAGTGGGAAACACTGAGGTTTCTGAAGTTGAAAAAAGTGATATTTTCATTGCAATGAACATAACACTTGATAATTCACTGCAGTGAACATAACTATTGTCTTACAAGAGTTACTTCCCTGCCAATTATCTCCCCTTTATCGTATGTATCTAGCCCGTACACAAACTGTTGACATCCTGTTTACGTTAGGCAAAATAATAACAGATGGTCATTTATAGCCTAATAGTGCCACTATAGTAGCATAATTGTATTTTTCCAAAATCGAATTTTCTCGTCCTTTCCATTATTTTCTTAATTTAGAATTGCTTCTTATTATTTTGTGTATTTTCTTGTTACTTCGAGCATTTTCTCGTTATTTCAAGCTTATTTCAAATAATTAAAACTACGAGAAAATAATGGAAACGATGACAAAAAATCTTTCGAGCGTGAAATAAATAATCGAAATAACGAGAAAAAATCGAAGTAACGAGAAAAAATAATATAATTAATTAAATTAACGAGAAATGTTAGACAAAAATATGATACACAACTGGTACCATTAGGGTTTTGTGTTTATATAGTTTATATCGCTTCTTGACGTTTGTTATTGTCTTGAAAAAGTTTCATTATAAACTGTAAAATTCTCATTTAACTTATAAATCGATATTTTTTGTTTTTCAAAGAGACATTTTTGTAACTTGACCAGCGTGTATTCTTTCACTTCCAACAACTCAAGAATATTTTTTGTTGAAGTTGATTTTGTATAAAATCATATCCAAATGTAAGATAGAGAATTGTATTGATCTTATACATTTTCTGTTACATTTGTTTATATTATTTTCAAATTTTTGTGAACATGAAACTACTTTTTAAGTCGCAATTACAATTGGTTAGGTAGGGAGAATATGCGTTTTATGGTTTTAATCTTACGGTTAACAACTACTCAATTATATCTATTAAATATGATATTCCATGTGTCGACTCAAATGTCGTGTTTATCTCAAAGGCGATATTTTACTCTACACATGAGATATCCTCAATATACCGTTCTATGTTGTAGGGCACGAACGCAACTTCGACAAGAACACCATCACACAGGTTGACACTCTTGGACTCCAGTACGACTACGAGTCCGTCATGCACTACAACGCCTACAGCTTCGCCGTCGACCGCAGGAAGCCAACCATTATTGTCAAGCAGAAGGGAGCAATCATTGGACAGAGAACTCACCTGAGTCCTTTTGACATCAAGGAGATCCAGATGTACTATGGTTGTTTGGCTTCCCAGGGCTCCCTCACCACGCCAGCTCGTAAGTCCGATAAAAACTCCAGCATAAAGGATAGTTATTCCTATAAATGTAAATCACGTTGAACTGAGGAGCGCTACTTGTAGTTGTGTTACTTATTTTTGTATTTCCACCATACATAAATGAAATGATTATTCGATGGTGATGTATTTGATACGGGTATCATAGGCGATATTCCATGCTTCATATAAGCGATTATCTCACAAGAGGTGACGTGAACATGGCGTCTGAAGGAACACGGAGGTAGCAATTTCACAGTACACGGTACTGAGCAGAGTGAAGTGTGAATTTTGCCCACAATTTTACATCCACTTGTTCAGAGTTCCCAGGAGTAGATCTTTGTTTGGTTTCTTTAATTTATTTCAACGTCATACAAATGGTTAACCGTGGTTCCTTTTTATGTAATTGTTTTTGTTAAATGTTATTGTACTGTAGAAATGAACATCACGACCTTCACAATGCTTTTCAGCTGCAACACTGTCATCTGGCCAATGTAAGTAAGGCATACATCCTTTTCTTTAAACAATGTTCTTCAGGGATAAAGTCATGAAGGTGCATAGATTTAGTATTACGCTACACATTACTAAAGTATATCAAGTCACCCACTGCATCCAAACAAAAGCATGTGCTTGATGTCAACTAAATAGTATTGTTATATCTACTTTCAACATGGAGACAATATACCCCCTGTTACTCATGTCCATTATGTACATTGTACTAGGTTGTAGAAACGATGAATCACGTTATGAAGATTATGAAAATGACAATAAGTGCATGTGCTTCTATGTTTGTAGCGATAGCTCGTCATGAGGATGACCCGGGTTCGATTCCCGACATGGGTACAATGTGTGAAGCCCATTTCTGGTGTCCCCCGCCGTGATATTGCTGGAATATTGCTAAAGGCGGCGTAAGACCATACTCACCCACTCACTATTTTTGAAATGTTGATAGAAAAATATCACACTCTTATAATTATCAATCCGACAAATAACACCAAGCAGATTGTATGAAATAACTTCCATAGCAGACACCAGTTTGTCTCAGCACATATCCCTGAACCCTTTTCTGTGTTTGTAATTAGCTGCTGAAATCTGTACCTTCCAATCCGATTTCTGCACATGGAGCAACGTTGGAGGAGACAACATGGACTGGCTCCGTCACAGGGGCCAAACCCCCAGTGTCGAGACTGGTCCCACCTCCGACCACTCAGGATCATCAACAGGTCAGTCTGTGACAAGGTTCACTGAGGATCTTCAGCTGTGTGACACCAATGCACTGAACATGAAACACATTCTAGTTCAAATAATCATTGATACACTATTTTAACTTCCTTAAATTCAGAAAGCAATGTGAAGATTTATGGATGAAAAGCTTCTTTATTACATTTAGGAGCGACGTTTCGGTGTAGGTTCTAACAGCGTTATCAAGCAAGTGATAATTAAATTCGACTAATACTGGACAAATGACGTGAACATATTCTGTGTAATACACGATCATCCGACCACCCCCCCGTCCCCTTTGCTGCATTTTTATATTTTTATCTACTACTACTACTACTACTACTACTACTACTACTACTACTACTACTACTACTTCTACTACTACTACTACTACTAATGCTGTACCCGTCGAAGGCAGTCTTCATATTCTCCGAAAAGTTCTGGGTGGGTTCGAGTAGGCAGCCCTCATTCGCTGTCTGGGCTGCATTTAGAAGTGAGAAGGGCCCTGAGCTTTTGATGAGCCTAACAAGCCAGGGCCACGTTCCCCAAGGAGATTTTAGCGCTGCGATGATTGTATGCCTATGTTAAAGTATGGGACTTACAATCAGCTTAGTGCTAAGATCGCTTTGGGGAACGGGGCCCTGACTGTGCCAGGATCACCCACACCATCTGTGCTGCATTTTTATTTTAATCTGTATATAATACCAATAAAAAAAAATAAATTAAACATAAAATAGTCACCATCCATTAATGTCTTTCTTAAATACTTAAAAAACCCACTTCATTTTATGTTCTATAGTGTTAATAACAGTCATATTTTAATGTTGTTGTAAGGTTACTACGCCTACCTTGAAGCCTCAGGACACAACAGTCAGAAGGGGTACCTGCTGTCTCGCCCCCTGCCGGCCGGATACTACTGTTTCAGCATGTACTACTACATGAGCGGTCAAGATGAAGGTAGCCTTAAGGTCGAGGCTGTTTTGGCAGATAACAACAGGACAGTTATTCATACCATTACTGGTAACCAGGGCAACGCTTGGCATCATTACATCGTAAACGTGAATCTGAACGGAAACAACTTTCACGTAAGCATTGCGGAAATAAGAATACACATGCATTTCCAGTACACTTGAACTTTGATAATATGTACCCCGAACTGAGACCATTGGTCCATTTTTGTATCCTTTTTATTTATTTAACTTCAGTTCGAAATCGAAGGTGACGTCGGAAATAACTACAGAAGCGACATCGCCATCGATGATATCACAATTCATAGCGGTGACTGCACCACTTTTCCAGCTACCGGTTAGAGGGGCGTGGAGACAGGATTCATCGACATCTGAAATATAGCAACAACATCACGCTCGTAAATATTTCGGACTTTAGATACGGAGTTGTTATTTGTTATTAACGTTAGAACTAGTGTATTAAACTATGTCCCATATCCATCGGTTCACAAAAGAGTAACGACACGGCTGGCCAAGGCGATTTGATGCCGCATTTCGCAATGCAGTGTTCCGTCTTATAACCCGTTCACATGCACAACATTTACATACGTAAGTGATTTTACACATGTGTAATTATACATACGTGCGTATATGTAAATTTACTACGCCTTCACATGAAAAGTCTCATGGATGTGTAAATAAAGTGTTTAAATTGTGTAAGACACACATATTCGTCATAATGAGAATGAGCAGAGAGTTGCATCACCGAAAAGTTTCGCGTGAAGCGAGATGTGTTTGATTTAATTTGTACACAAAGTTTTGACACCTTGAAACCAAAAGAAAACACCGTCCGCTCAACTCAAAGGTTGGCAACTGTTGACAATTTGTTTGGTGTTGGCAAAAGAACAGATATTAGATCATCCTCTGACGCTGACATAAACGTTCACATTGCAACATATACACACAGTGCAAGTTTACATTTACATTTGCACCTGCTCCATGCAAATTTGCACCTGGTGTAAATATACACACATAACAAGTATACTCACGTATGTATTTCTACACACGTGTGCATATATACAGACATATGAATAGAGGCGCATATGAACGGGGTATTAGGCGTGAAACATATGATCGTGGGATTCGTTTTGAAAATGATAATGCTGATAATGCATTAGGGTCTCACCAAAGTGTAAGTCTACGAAGTGCTGTCCCCCTACATCAAGGTGCCACGTACGCTATGATATAACAGACATATTGGCCAAAGTGGGATTACTAAGGTCGTACGCCGCTTTTTACAATGTTGTAGCTCCTGAATGGTTTTCACACATTGTACCCATGTCGGGAATCGAACTCTGGGCTTCGGCGTGGCGAAAGAACGCTTTTACCACAATACTATCCCAACTGACCCAGGCCCGTGAAGATCAGGGTTAGAACCTATGCTGAATCGGGATCGGGTGATCAGGCTTAGTGTTGATGCGTGTCATCGCATCACAATTGCGTGGACCGATGCTGATGATGTCAATCGCCAGATTGACCGGGGCAGTCTTGATTATTTCCAAATCGCCATCATAATATTGCGGCGTGAAAGAACAAACACACAAACAAACCCAGTGTCCCGACGTCATGAATGATACACTGAGACGTCAGGAGGTGTATTACGCCAACAGCTTTGTACACATTAAATAAAGACCGTCTCCTTCGACGTATAAGAACAGCTGTAGGTAGTGAATATTAACTGTACACAGATCACACCCCAGGGACGTGTATGATCTTTGCCGCTGTGTGGTATCAACGTTGTAACAACTACAACCTGTGACGTATGCCTGTCCTCTCACGTTAAAATGACAGGTAGTGTTTTATAGATATATGAAGCCGGTGAGGTAGAAGACGTACATGCCTGCATCAGTATTTTACTGCTCTTTTCATATTAGAAACGTGCCAAGTTTAAACAAAGGACTGGCATCTGATGGTGCTGAAACGTGCCAAGTTTAAACAAAGGACTGGCATCTGATGGTGCTGAAACGTGTCAAGTTTAAACAAAGGACTGGCATCTGATGGTGCTGAAACGTGCCAAGTTTAAACAAAGGACTGGCATCTGATGGTGCTGAAACGTGTCAAGTTTAAACAAAGGACTGGCATCTGATGGTGCTGAAACGTGTCAAGTTTAAACAAAGGACTGGCATCTGATGGTGCTGAAACGTGTCAAGTTTAAACAAAGGACTGGCATCTAATGGTGCTGAAACGTGCCAAGTTTAAACAAAGGACTGGCATCTAATGGTGCTGAAACGTGCCAAGTTTAAACAAAGGACTGGCATATGATGGTGCTGAAACGTGCCAAGTTTAATCATAAACATAAGCAATACATTTTAGTTGTGAAATGGTTTGTATGCAAGTAGAAATTTGTACAATGACTTCCCCGCTTGGATGTATTCAGCTGAGACTTCATGATCTTCCCGCAGACAACATTGATGACATCCAGAGATAAATTCATTTACATAACTCACAATTGACGCATCCAGATTGACGTAAAAATAATGAGTGAGTGAGTGAGTGAGAATGGTTTTACGCCGCTTTTGGCAATATTCCAGCAATATCACGGCGGGGGACATCAGAAATGGGCTTCACGCATTGCACCCATGTCGGGAATCGAACCCGGGTCTTCGGCGTGTCGAACGAGCGCTTTAACCACTAGGCTACCCGACCGCCCATATCGCCTGTTAAGAGCGGTATGTGTAATATACTGACCTGATCTATTGGTACAGCAAGAGCAAGCCCAACGAATAGGATGAGGACAACCCCTAACATGGTGCCTTCAAGAAGCCGTTCTGAAATAATAGTAAGTAAAGAAGCTAGTTATACTGATGATCTCTGTTCTTGATAAGGACCGTGGGAGCGGACGTTTGGCGATTGTCAAAGTGTTACACTTTTACACACATCCCTGCTAACGAAAGAAACCTGCGTGGACTACCACGTCGCTGATCTTGTTTAGAACTTGAATGTACACATGCACTTTCATAATTTATAGGGGTGGTCGGGTAGCTTAGTGGTTAAAGCGTTCGCTCGTCACGCCGAAGACCCGGGTTCGATTCCCGACATGGGTACAATGTGTGAAGCCAATTTCTGGTGTCTCCCGCCGTGGGGAAAGAGTGAAACGAGAAAGAGTGAAATTAATATTAAAGTTAATATGCCTTTTATCTCAAAGGGTTTGTTGTCACTTTAAGGAGCTAAATATACGTTGCGACTTTTGGAATCAACACGAAACACTTTGACAATTGCCAAACGTCCGCTCCCACGGTCCTTATCAAGAACAGAGATCATCAGTATAACTAGCTTCTTTACTCACTATGTCTTCAGAACGGCTTCTTGAAGGCACCATGTTAGGGGTTGTTCTCATCCTATTCGTTGGGCATGCTCTTGCTGTACCAATAGATCAGGTCAGTATATTACACATACCGCTCTTAATAGGCGATATGGGCGGTCGGGTAGTCTAGTGGTTAAAGCGCTCGCTCGTCATGCCGAAGACCCGGGTTCGATTCCCGACATGGGTACAATGTGTGAAGCCAATTTCTTGTGTTCCCCGCCGTGATATTGCTGGAATGTTGCTAAAAGCGGCGTAAAACCTCACTCACTCACTTAATAGATCACTATTGATTAAATTTTCGTAACTTTTCTAAAACCATACAAAGTAAACGCTTGATTAAGTTTGAATTTAAGATTAATTGATAATTGTATTAACGGAAAGAGACCGACATACCCCAGATGCTTAAAGATCAAATTTGAAACATTAAACAAAAGTTTGATTCACACCTTATTTGTAAAGAAATAAAAAATCTTCGTTTCTCTTTTTCAGCTTCCGGACTTCGATGGTAAGTGCAATATGATACATAAACATATAGCTTTGAGGTAAGCGCTTTTACAAGCGTTAATTTATAAACGAATAACATTCTTTTTCTAAAGCTGTTTATCAACTGTTTGGCTGATGTAAGGCAACATTCATGTATGGTGTGATACCACGTCACCTGGCTACACTACCTTATCTTAATGACTGGCTATCATAAGTGAATGCATGCAAACAGCCAGTTTGTGATCTGTGGACATACCGTCATCTCAGTTTTGTTTTTTGTTGTTTAACGCCGCACTCAGCAATATTCCAGCTATATAGCTGCGGTCTTTAAATAAACGAGACTGGACCAGACAATCCAGTGATTGAGCATGAGCATTGATCCACGCAATTGGGATACCATGACATGCATCATCCACCAATTTAAGTCTCAGTTATGACACACATATGCTACAATAGACTCAGTGACAAGGTGTTTGTTGAAATTGATATATAAATGAACATTTAATTGTTTTGTAATTTTTGCATTAATTTGTGAAATTTGAAGATAATGACTGTTCATGTATTCATTGTTCCATTCTTGTTTTATTTTTCTAGAGGCGTACCCGGAAGAAAACCCTGGTAGGTTCACAAATAATGAAGATTATTAAGATTTTCTTCGAAAGTTTGTATAAGTCTTCTTAATTATCACGTCGCTATATAAGTGCAATAATTTTGAACGCGATATTAAACTCCATTTCACCTCACCACTGCACCTGTTTAAGGATATGATCCAGGCATTCACTTTCCACCCACGCATCCATTTTTGTCATAAAAGTATTTTACTATATAAACCAAATGAATATTTGTTTTTGCCAGGCCTCTTCGAGGGAGATATCATTCTCATGCCAGGACAAAACCCCAACGTAAGGCATTTTGTTTTGTGTATGATTAAATAAGATGAGAAAAAATGGCAAAGTATTTAAAGTACCATGTCATAACATGAAATTTTTCAATCATTGCGATATATGCAAACTTCGGTATTGTGAAAACACGTCTATTTTACAGGACAGAAATGCGAGAAGAGACAAAAACTACCGATGGCCAAATGGCGAAGTTCCTTTCGAAATTGACACCCATCATTTCTGTAAGCAATGAAAAGTTGTTCTGAACAAATATAAACAACTAAAGATGAATTTGGATTTCAATACATGTGCATGAATAAATACAATAATTGGAAATTAAAACAATAAATATCACAATTATAATTTGAAATCATTCCAAAATAGTTATTTTCAAAATTTCAAATGTTTCAATGACATAGTTTTGAATATAGAACAGCTACATGAATGCTGCCGTAACAACAATGAATTTTAACGATATCAGAGAGCACTTCACACACGTTGCTATGCATATCTCGGTTAACACATAGATTTTCTAATGTAGCATCGTCTGAGGAGAGTACCATTCATACTGCCATGCAGACAATTCATGAGAAGACCAAGGTCAATGGCAAAGCGTGCATCACTTTCAAACCCCGCACGCATGAGCATGCCTACATACGATACGCGGGAGGATCGGGGTAAATACCACATTGTCCATTTGTAGAACTAGCTGTACCCATCATGCCTTGGAAACAAAAACTGTACTATTCAGTTATATCGCTTGCACGAGTGTATGCTTGCACATCGTCCATTTGTAGAACTATCCGTACCATCATGCATTTGAAACAAAGACTACACTATTCAGTTATATCGCTTGCACATCGCCCAATGGTACAACTGTACCCATCTTTCATTTTAAACCAAAACTGTACTATTCAGCTTATTTCTTGTATAATTGTATTCTTTCACATCGTCCATATATGCAGAACTAACTGCACCCATCATGCTTTCAAAACCAAAACTGTACTAATCAGCAAATTGCTTGGATAATAGTATGCATGCAACTTTCATAAGTTCTACATACGTACCTGATCCATTTGCTTGAAATCACTCTGATACAAAATGTAAAGATACAAAAAAAAGGTATACATATGCTTGTGTCACTTGACTTGAAGGAGAGATTATACCCGTGTGAATAGTGCGGCGTTAAACAACAAACAAACAATGAAGGAGGGATTAACCTGCAAACATATGAACTGATGCATGACAGGTGATGCAAACCATAACCAAAGTACTCTATACATAAGAAGGAAAAGTTACAATGACTGATCGTGTGTCCTTCCAGCAATAACATGAGTGTTAAACTGAAATGAAAGCTCACCAAACGTGTAGTTGGTTTGGAAATATTTTAACAAGGGGTTGCATTTCGTCAATGTAACTGCGCTGAATGTGTAATCAAAATGGCAAATTCAAGAGTAATGCATGGAAAAGTCATAGGTGACAATATGTCTCCATCACCCTATGTTTGGGAATGGGAACGGATTGTTACAATGAGTGGCTTGGTTTGGTATGCTTCATCGCACATCTCCAACGATCAATGCAGGTTTCATCCTTCTAGCACAAACTGCTTTAACTGCAACATGCACTGCGGTGCCGATATAACAAATGGGTCATTTCAAAACATACCATTGAGTCCATAAAATGTATGTTGGTGCAGGTGCCATACTCCTGTAGGACGTCACAGTGGCTTGGATGTCGTGACTCTCGGCAGTGGATGCATGAGGTTAGGAACCGTCATGCACGAGACCATGCACTCCCTTGGGTTCTGGCACGAGCAGAGTCGTCCCGACAGAGATAATTACATCACTATTGAATGGAGCAACATCGGGAAGGGTACATGTTTTTTATATAAAACCACCTAAGGGGATATTGGTGTGGATCCGAATATCTGTGCTGCTCCCTGTGGACAACTTTGATATTGCGACTTCAATTTGTTATTTTTATGTGACAGGGAGCAGCACAAAGATCCGGTTACCTCAGCTAACCTTGTATAGAGAAAAGTCACATTATGAAAGGTCGTTTTGGAAGTTATTTTGTTCAATTCAGTTTTCTTGGGCTACATCTATCTGCTGGTAACTGTTAATGTATGTAACACGATAACAGTAAACTTCGGTTATAACGAATTGAAAGGGACCAATATTTTCTTTCGTTATAACCGTAGTTCGTTATAAGCGTTTCAACTGAAGGATACCGCAAATGGCCGGGATCCAAAACAACAATTCGTTATATCCGTCACTTCATTATAAGTGTGTTCGTTATAAACGTAGTTCACTGTAGTTTATCTTTAGATAGTAATATAAATGTTTCGTTAAAGTGAACTGATTCATTAGTTAATATATACTTTTTAATAAACCTCTTTGGCGGTGTCAATACAATGAATATCACAAGGCGAAATCTTCAATTCAGCATACCACTTCATCCATACTTCAAATGATTTTTATTAATTCAGGCCATGAACACAACTTTGACCGTAAAAGCTCTGTAGAAGCCGACACATTTGGGATTCCTTATGACTACGAGTCCGTGATGCATTACAACGCTTATAGCTTCGCTATAGACCGCTCGAAGCCAACGATCATCGTCAAAAAGACAGGGGTGTCGATTGGACAGAGAACCCACCTTAGCCCTGGGGACATTAAGGAAATACAAATCTACTACGACTGTGCAACTCATTCGGGGAAACGCAACTCAAATCCTTCTATGTGTAAGTTTAATATCCATATCAAAAGCGTTCGTGATCTTTAAATGGAGTAACATTACCAACATACGTGCCTTATCTCAGGTGGTCTGAACAATGGCCCACATAAACATGTTGTTAAAAAATCTAGCAAGGAGCGCCGCCATCGTGATGCGATAATACACGGTCAAGTTACCGCATTCGACGTAATAAGCGCCCCGCTCTAATAAGCGCCCACGGCGATATTTGCGAATATATTGTCTAGTGAGCAATCCCAATTAGCCATCCTTCCGATTGATCAATGTTCACAAGACTTATTTATTAGCCTATGATATGCACTCGTGTGTTATATGCAACCTTAATTATTGGCAATACATTCTGGAAAAATATATCTGAACATGAACACGAAATTTATCTTTCCACTCTGTTTTTTTTTCACCAAAATAATATTTTAATAAGAGCCTCCTATTTCTAATTTTGAGAGCGCCATGGGCGCTTCGTACGTCGAATACGGTATGCATATGAACCAACCGATCCCCATTCGGTCGGATGTGAACATGTCTAACACAGCAGCTGAAATATATTACTGAGCAATCGCATCAATAAGGCTTAAACATAATTTTACTTTTAGTATTCATTAAGAAACCTTGAAACTTTGGACATTCGATCATTAATGGTACGTGTTTTGATCTTTTCATGAAGCCTCTGAAACATGCAATTTCCAAACTGATCTCTGCAAATGGCAGAATGGTGGAGACATTAACTGGATCCGTACCAGAGGAAGCACTCCGACCTCACACACAGGACCCACGACTGATAACTCCGGGTCATCAAGCGGTGAGTGATGGGGATGTTTCTAGCGTGTCATTGGTACACTCTGAAACCCCATAAAATCTTCAACATAATGACATTTCCGAAGTAACGCATATGAGCTATGTCATATGATTTAATGATATTTTGTAATGCCAAACAGAAATACATAGGAAGCCAGGCTTCCGGACTGACGGTAGCCAGGTAAAGGTGGGTTGTCTGCAGGATATCACCAATGGCGCAGCACGTCCAGACTCACCAATTCAATGATTCAATTTATTGTCCAATGACGAATATTTCTTGGTTTGTTAGGTAATACTTATACGCTATGGAAATCATGTGAAATTTATGATTTGTTTCTTGAAGTGTTTCCGCGGGCAGATGCTTAGTACAAAAACTCTATACCGGAGTCAATAAGTAAATAATACATCTGGGCGAGTTGAAAAACGAAAAAAAAAACCCAAAGCAATAATAATATTTATTATTTTCGTGGAATTTTATTCTGACCATGAATGCCTTTTCATTACATATTGTTATGAAAACGCACAGAACCCTTTTTTATTTATTACCTTTCAGGTTACTATGCCTACCTTGAAGCATCGGGAAATGAACACAAGAAAGGCTACCTCTTGTCCGAGACATACGCTGCAGGCAACTACTGTCTGAGCGTCTACTACAGCATGCATGGCCACGACGACGGAAGTCTGAAACTAGGGTTGCAAACAGGAGGCCATGATACGAACTTGCACACTGTGTCTGGTGATCAGGGTCACGGATGGCATCACTACATGACCAACCTCGAAGTTAAAACTGGGGATTTCAAGGTGAGTTGACTGCTAGACGTGGTACGTCCCTAACAGGATATGGAACCAATGCTATATCACTCAAAAAGATTGTAAATGCTGAATTGTCAGGTTCAAAATTCAAACTGAATTGCAGTATTCAAAAGTCAAAATCAAATGCAGTATTGCTTTCTTTCAAATTGACTTGTCTTTCCATGTGTTTGTGACGGGTGCTACCGGTGGAGCAGGATACACTCACCTTTTCGTGGACACTTGGTATCACCCCTATTCGATAGTGATTCATAAACATATACTCATGACATAGTCGGAATCTTTTCAGAGACTCTGCTTTTAGCAGAGATTTCTAATGAATAGTGAAAGGATTCTTGCCAACCTCAATGGAAACCTTTTAATGTGAGTCTTGCGGATGTACTCTCCAGTTGACCGTTAACCATTTGTACTATTGCTTCATGTGTAACGCCGATATTCCTTGTTTTAGGTTAAAATAGTGGGCGACATTGGCAGTGCCCACAGAAGTGACTTTGCCATTGATGATCTGACTGTTACCAAAGGCGACTGTTCTTCACTATAGCAGAGTTACTACCTGACGAGCGTGACTTCATTAAGATATGATTCTTATTTCACGGAATGTCAATAAACTGTAATGTTATACAGTTAGCCTTATTATTTCATTTTGTTTCTCATAAATTGTTTATCAAAGAATTCCCGATGAACTTATGTGATATAATATTTAGTTCACCAGATTAATTCAATTTGTGCCTGTTGCCATCAGATTGCATAGCGAGTGAAAAGTGGGACATGTGTTGCAAAGAGAATAAATATTCATGTACCTACATAAACATGTACCAGGTATAAATAGTACCTCGCTACAGACATCGGACACGATAATCCACCCGCTGGAACAAGCCTTTAAATCGCATCGAATCAATATTCAAGCACAAACATAAATTTGACAAGAAAATCTTTATGGATAAATGGATAACAACTTCTGGTTTGATGAATACAGCCACTTTTTTATGTAGATTATTACACCGTCATGAAGCTGGAGCAACCAAGTGATGAGAGGTATATATAAAACAAGCTGATAATTGGATGAAGCCAAATGTACAGTCGAGGGGGTCGGAGTGGAGGTGGGGGTGCGGCTTGGAGGATAGTTCTAAGGGATGGGGAGCCAGTGAAGATGGTATCGATACCTATTTGGCTGTAAAGTAATCTGCTGATTTGATGAGAGGTCATGCAAATGTAGGGGAGGGTGATTGTGATGGGGGCGGATTCTGATCTGGTTGGTTTGGGTTTGGGGAGGTGTGTGGTGGAGATGGTCCTTTTGTATTGTGCGGATAAATTGGACACTTTGACAACGTATCAGGCATGTCCAACACCAATGCATTTTGGAGTATTTTCAGGAAGCCATTGTCTTGATTAAAACATATATTTATTCAATATATATATATATATATATATATATATATATATATATATATATATATATATATATATATATATAAAACCTGTAATACTAATATATATATATATATATTTATCATCCAAAACTGGCAAGCCTCGGAATTTTTCCTATTTTATCAACTCGTGTTGATATATTTGATATCAAAAGACACTCGGGTGAGATTCTCTATTTATCATCCAAAACTGGCTCCGACAGGAGATATCGCTTTGATGAGATCAAGCGATATCTACACTGAAGATATCTCTGCAATGAAATTACATGCTTTGAAGACCATTGTGACGTCACTGGTTACCATGACGTCACAATCAAATGACATCACTAATGGCTCTGCTACTGAAGCTGTTTGCAATACTTTTTACACTGAAGACACTGCTAATTACTGTCTACAAATTGAAAAAGTTGAAAGAATGATGTTGGATGATAAATAAAATCTCACCCTCGTGTCTTTTGATATCAAATATATCAACACTCGTTGATAAAAGTGGCAAAAATCCTCGGCAAGCCTCGGAATTTTTCCACTTTTATCAACTCGTGTTGATATATTTGATATCAAAGACACGAGGGTGAGATTATATATATATATATATATATATATATATATATATAGGTTATCACGCGAGTGTGTTTGGGGATGGTAAATATCCCTCATTAGGAATAAACATTGTATTTAGCGAGCCTTGGCGAGCTAAATACATAGTGTTTATTCCTAATACAGGATATTTAACATCCCCAAACACACAAGAGTGATAACCTCTTTATCATATAATGTCATTCTTTAATTCTGTGCTTCAAAATCGCTTTCCCTCTCTCACAAACATTACCGAAACATTGCGAGTTTTCCTGGCATGCGCGCATTAATATTTATTACGTCACAGGGTAAGTGATGTGTCAGTCGGACAGTGACAGTAGCCAATATAGTTCCAACTGAAATATCTTTCTTTTTTCAGTGGCGAAGCAACATATACGCAAAACAACAATTGTTTTTAATTGCCTTTCGCGGCAATCCATCGGTCTGTCCGCTAGAGTAACTGCCCTTTGTGAAAGGGAAGCTACTCTAACCCTTGTCTATGAGACGTCACGGCAACGGTCAGATGTTGTTGACAGTCGGTCTGTCCTGTCATAACGATAAGAAGTGTAGTCAGATGTACACACAGCGACAAAACGAAACAAGGTAACAATTCAAACATATTTCCGCCAAATCCAACTATTTTAATTTATGGAGGAGGTTTCAAGCCACAGAGGTCTACAAGCACAGATATGGCTACTGATCCCGCTTGGCTAGGCCTCGTGCCCTCGCCAAATTGTTTCGAAATTTATATCTCCAAAGTTGCCAAAACTTATAAAATGCCTTAGCTACATCACAGTTAGACACAGATTTTCAGTATATTAGACTGTTCTTTTGATAATGAAAGCAATTATCCCTGTAGTTTATCCAGATTCCCGATGGTTAATTCTGACTCGATCGCCGAATGACGAGTGCGATGCCATGTTTGTTTAACAGTGAAAGTAGTCCCTACTTGACCTTTGATATTTGCATCTCTATCCGCATATGACCCCAACGGATATCGTTTTTATCCGTTGGCTTTATCCTGTCGAGAAACCTACCCATTATATGATATATATATATATATATATATATATATATATATATATATACATACAAAAATGAGTAAATGTTCACTCGGTGTTCACTCAGCTCTTCATTGTAACTGACAATGACATATAATATGACGTCATACTTATGATGACGTCATAAATTACAACTGTGACGTCATAATGTATTTACACACTCCAGCGACGACACCAAGTAATTTAACAATTGTAAGGAGACATTTGAATTAAAATATACAGTATTTGTAAAGTAACAGTGTAACATTTACGATTGAAATCTATTAATACATTCTCGAGTTCAATTTGGGTTTCATCAATTGGATAAACATTTGTTATTTTTCCAGTCTTAGCTGCTTGTTACTTGTATACAATTTATAAAACGGAAAAATACTAAATCATCAATGTGTTTGCTGACACCTAAGCATCGAACATCAGGGTCTCTAATCTGCTATTTGTGTACAGTGACTCTATCTTTTAATTCCATGCCGGTTTCACCGATGTTGTTTTCGCCGCATCCCGAACATCTCATAACATACACCACATCTTTGCTGCGGCAGTTCATGTCGGCTTTCACGTTGAAACCCTTGCCATTTGCAAAAAGCAAAGTAGTACCTTCACTTATGATGTTACACGTGCCGCATCTTGGTGTGTTACATCTACTTACACATGGTACACTCTCTGTACAAGAATATTTTGGATGGACAAAGAATTTGCTTGAGATTTTTTGGTTGCCTGGTACTTTTTATAATTTTAAATTTATTCAGTCCTTGTTTCATTTTAACGCTTTGCTGTAGAATTGGGAGGTTGTCCCTTATGACTGGCGTGATATGACAGTTATTAGGATTGAAGGTGGACACAAACGGTATAATTTGATCGCCCACAGATTTTTCATTAGGTTTCAGGAGAGTATGTCTTGGAATTTTTAACGACTTTTCTATAGAGTCATTTATTACGTGAAGCGGATATCCTAGCTTCCTGAGATACCCCATCAATTCTTTAATCCGTTTCCGACACGATGGTACATACTCTCCGCGCAAGTGAATAAGGAATGTTAGTTCTTGTATGCCTGGGGTGACATGAACCGAATTGTAAGTATTGATGAGTGTCCGTTGGTTTGTAGTAGATATCAGTTTTCAATTTAGTATCTTCCTTAACTACAAGGACGTCCAGAAATTGAATTTCGCTATCGCTAAATTCCATAGTAAAACTGATGGAAGGATGGAGCGTATTAATAATATCCAGAAAAATGTTTAAATTTTCACGAGTTGAGAGCCAAACTAAAAAACAATCGTCCAAGAATCGCTTCCAAGTTTCGCGCACATGTTTGGCAATGGATTCTGACATGGAATCGTGTACCTTCCTGTAAAGAATATCCTCTATATAACCCATCACAAGTGTAGCGTATGTTGGAGCGACTTTCGTTCCCATGGCCGTTCCCTTTCTTTGATGATAGAATTTTCCGTTGAAACAGAAGGTATTATTTTCTAATCTTAAAGATTCCACGATGAAGCTTTCCGAAAATTCAGTGTCAATAGCCTCAGGATGTTTTCTCAGCCAAAATTGAAATGCCTCCAATCCCAGATCATGGGGTATGTTGGTAAATAAACTCTTCACATCAAAGGTGGCTAGAGTCGCATCAATAGGTACGGCATCGGGCAGGTGGGTAAGAAAGTCTACATCGTCTCTTACAAAACTCGGTACATGCTTTGTTAATGGTTTTAAAATGATATCGATGAGATGACCTAGGCGCTGAGTCGGGATGTTCGGTCCTCCGACAATCGGCCTGAATGTCAAATCAGGACAGCTGGTAATCTCGATATACTCCGCATTCTGTTCGGCAATAGCGTTATTTATCAATTTACTTTTATGGATCTTGGGTAGTCCGTAGAAATTAGCCGTCTGCGGGTCACAGTTTATTAAGTAGTCTTTTTCTTTAGGGTGTAGATCTCCAGAGAAGTCTTCACTATGTTTTTTAATTGTTGAATTACTTGGTGTCGTCGCTGGAGTGTGTAAATACATTATGACGTCACAGTTGTAATTTATGACATCATCATAAGTATGACGTCATATTATATGTCATTGTCAGTTACACTGAAGAGCTGTCATGAGACAGCGAGAGTACTATGTCTGAAACTGATATAAAGAAGATGATGGACTAACGTGGACTTTATTATTTTATTATATATATATATATATATATATATATATATATATATATATAGTAGTAGTACCGAACAAACACGAGGGGGCAAACACGAGGGGTCAACAGGCATGTCCAACATCAATGCATTTTGGAGTCTTTACAGGAAGCCATTGTCTTGATTAAAACATATATTTATGGAGGTACCTTGAGACGATTCAGCTTTGACGTTGGCGTTGCTTGGGGTAAATCAGAAAGCTTTGAATTAAAAGGGCTGGAAATGGAAATGTCAGATTAGTCCCTCCTTTTCAATAACGAAACTTTCTTCTTACACTTACACAAAAAAGATGTGAGGATGTTTGTGTGGATTTTGATCACGAAAAGACGACTTTTTTTGAGGGAAGGATGTAGGCCAATACTTTGATGACTGATTTGGGAGGAAGGTTTCAAGCAGTATGTTCATGCTGTGTTTACGACTTATTTTGAGGGTAGATCAGGCCCCGAGGTTATAAAAATATTTTCGTGCTCAACTCAGTTTCATGCTCAAATACATGCTCATGCTCAACTTCGTACTCAGTTGAGATTTGTACTCAAGCAGAGGTTATAAAACATCTTGAGTCTGTTCTCAGCTGAGAACAACTCACGCTCGGCTTGAGCATGCTCAAATGACTCTTTGTTTATGATATAAGCGGCAATTTGGAACTCTCTCCGTCGAGAATGGTAAGAAAACAACCCGGATGTTGTCGTCTGCTTATTTACAATGGCAACGGAGGGCGTGACCGAATCGAGAAGGCGGGGTAAGGGGTGGTCAGAAGCGGAGGAGGTTTGTCTAATCCAGGAAGTTGTTCAGCGAGAGCAACTGTTGTTCGGTGAAACAAAGGGAAGCGGTGTGAAGTCCATCCATCGACAGCGGACCGATGGATGGCAAAGTATCACGGACATCCTCAACACGTAAGTTGTTCATATGTTATCGTTGTTTAATATCATTTGCAGCATGGTACGCTATATTATCGCGATAGTTAAGTTATAAATACGTCTTGCGCAAAGTGTTCATTCAACTTTTATGACACAGGATTGATCGATGCTGGTTTTATTTACTGTGTTCGGTAAAACAAAGTACCTGTCATAACGAGTTAAAAAAGTAAGGGCGGAAGACATGTATTTTCATGGGCTTTCCCCTCCACAATTCCTTGACAGTGAAGAAGAAAACATGTTCTGTATATTAATTTTCAAATTATATCTCTTCTTTTATATACTTTCAGAAGACACATCAATGCCAAAAGGGAGGCTTTGGAAGTGAAAAAGAAGTACTTCAATTTGAAACAAAGAGGTACTCTTTTTATATTAGAAAAATACCAAGAGGCATATTGTGTCAACATTGTTACTCCATCATAATGTATTAAATGGTTATTATATAATTGATGAAACACATGTTTATCCCTCAATAACACATGAACACGTGTCAATGAAACCCAAATTTAATATTTCAATATATATGTTATTGTTACTGAAACTAAACTGCAAACTTGTATTGTAGCTAAAAGCAAGATCGACGGCCTCAAAAGGTCAATGGCTACAACTGGAGGAGGGCCTCCACTCCCAGCACTGTCCAACGCGGACGAGGTCCTTTCTCAGTCTTTGGAGGGGAGGCCAGGTATTCATGGCCTAGAACATGGCATTGACACTGATGGTATGGGCAGTTCAATATGTAAAAGATTGATGTAAATTTTAAAGCCAACTATTTCTCATTAATGTTGGTTATGGTGAGACCTATCACCTGGGACAATGTATTTGGATGACAAAAATACATATCAAATATAGTACAAACAAATCAAGTACTGCCAAAAGACTAAGGAAACAAAAACAATTTCAGACACCAACTTTATATGCCTGTGATCAAAGTAATGAATACATTTGTTGTGAATTGCGCTGGTACAAAATCATTAAAATAATAATTAATATTTGTCAGATAATCAAATTAATTACTCATCACAATTTCAGTCACAAATGCAATTATTTTTGTCAATTCTAACCCGAAAATTTGTAAAATAGCTGCATTACTGTATTTTAATATTCTGTTCACTTCAGTCATTCATGATGGCGATGTAGCTGCCGCTGCACCAGAAGGTAATACATATCATCATATGTCTGAATACTATTAACATGTATTATTATACATAATCACATCTATAACATGGGACATATATCCAATTACTCTGTGGGTTGTCTCTCTTATATAGGTCATGTCTTGAACATAATACCAAAATTTCCAACATGTATTGTGGAGCATAGTTTGCTATTCCTGTCATAACATTATTGTCTGAGCTGACACATTGTATACAATCAATGTAATTATTCTCAATTAATAACATAAAAGTATAACTTTATTTTGTGACTTTATTGAATGCTTAAATATATAAATGTCTGAAAATGATACAATAATATTTTGCATTTTTTCAATGTAAAAAATTGTATCCCCTTATTTACAGGTCTGCAAGGTGAAGCACAACACATTGGTCATGTTGATGTGCACATTGATGAGCAAGACAACACAGCAGAGGGTACATCAGAAGGATCTGAGTAATATCTGTAGAACATATTACTATACTAAATAATGAAGATTTTTAGAGATTATTTCAGTATATTCAAGATTGCAGTTACAGATCAAATTTATGTTTGCATAATCCTTCTATAATACTAGTATTATACTACTAATAAACTATGACCTTTGTATGATTTACTGAAAGCATAGAAATGAAAACACTCATAGCAAGATGCTAATACATGTATTACCCCAAACAATACATTCACTGTCTTGTCATAAGCTGAAAATACTAAGAGACCGGAAATATATTCGAATTAAATTTCAGTCACACTAACACGCATAGTGCTATCAACAATACTATACTCCCAAAGATGACGCAGAGTACACAATTCATGTTTCTAAAATGTGACAAGTCAGTCTCATTATAATTACAGACAAAAAGACCGGGCGCAAACGAATAAGAACAAAAGCTGAGGCAATCTATGACAACACGATACAGGACACAGAAAGGATCAAACTTGAACAAAGGAAGCTGAAACTGGAAATTGAATTATTAGAAAAAAATCAAAAGAAATTAGACATTGAAATTCAAATGCTGCAGTGTAAATCAGTCTACTACCAACTAAAAATGAATGCGGAATTTGGTGTTTCTCTTGTCGAATCATGTCCAACTGAAGAATATTTATAATCAAAATTACTAAAGACAGTTATGTAGAAATGCAATATGAATGACAACAACATTTACTGATTTGCTTGGACATGATCAGCTGAATTCGACAGATACATTAGTTAATGATAATTGAAAGAAATATTGTTACACAATATCAACTCTATCTGTATTGTTTTATCACTATTCATTACATATGCAATTGCTCCAAAAATCCTGATTTTTTGTTATGTGCTCTTAAGTAAGATCATTTTAAAGCATTTAACTCTAACATTGTAATATAGAATGTCTAGTGATCATGACTTTACTTAAACTTTATGCAATTTGTAGAGACTTAGATGATGAATACCATGCACTTTTCATTTGTCCAGCTGATATTAACATTAGGTCAAGATATTTGTCCTTCATACAGACTATTAAGAATATCCTAACATGCATAAGTTCTGTATCTTTACTCACAACAAATGACAACATTTTATTCCAGCTAACTCTTTATCTTGTTCAAATTTAGAAATTAAGAAACAAATATGGATTGAATGTCTCTGTCACAATGTGCAATGTAAGAAACTTGAACTAGTCCTGCAGTTCGTGCCAAAGTGTCCAATTGACAATGTATGAAAGAACTTGTAGACATTTGCCATTTTTCAGGTTTTTGCTATATGTTATCATTGTAAGGACTTGTAGACTAAAAATGTTAGTTTCTACCGTAGTATGTGCCCTATATTATCCAATATTCTGCACTTTACTTGCCGTAAAAGGTGACAAATGGGATCGGGTGGTCAGGCTCGCTGACTTGGTTGATACATGTCATCGATCACAAGTACTTGTGTTGTAGACCTTATGTGTAATCCTTAGTCGCAAGAGATTACAGTCCACGGGTTTGTGAGAATATCAGTTTATTCAGTTGAAGGCATAAAGAAGACACTCCTGAAACAATTTAAAATCACAATATGTCACGTGTTTCAGAATAAATGTACAATAACACATTAAATGTAAAGTATCGATCTGCTTCTTCATAACTCATTACATCGTTACAGCAGATACACAAGTATATTTCTGCCTCGATAACTTATCAGTGCAGATGTACCTTCATATACAAAAGACAATATAATTACACATTATTAAACGCATAACTGAGGAAATAATTAAATCATCACATAATCATATTATGCATAATGAATGCACAACATGAACATATTATATAGATAAACTATATACAAAACATACCCTGTGTGTGACACGAGAGTGTAACATGCCTTCTGCCAGTCATCTCATTCGACAGTCACATGAAACTAAATACAGATACAATATAATTATAATATTGTAAATAAAACATATAATCACGGCATATACATGCATCACTGAAATACAACTTCAGTCATTCATTCATACAACTATCAATAAATACATGCATACATCTAGAGAGATATGTACAAAGTCTAGAAATACACCAGATTTACTAAATAATAGCAAATATGCATCAAATACCAAAAATACACAAAATACCAAATAACCAAATAAAAAATATATATAAAATATATGTATAGATAAGCAATACTCATGAATCAGACCCTAATCTCATCACACTCACCTCATTCACTCAACCTATCGTTTGTTTATGTTTACAAGTTATTTAAAACCTATTTTATTATTTATTACTTTATTTATATTAATGATTGAAATTATAATGTTTAGATTGATACAGATTAATTATGATTACTAACCTTGATAACTTGATGCTCAATCCATTGCTGTGCAGTGCAGGTGGGTGTGTGAGCATAAGATTAGCAATGGCAGGTGAGAAAGGGATTTGAATTGAAAGGTATACTAATTGGGTAACAACAGGTAAACCTAATGACGAGCAAACAATAGAACAAAACACCCTTGGAAGTAAAATAGACTGGACCATTGACCTTTGACCCAGTAGAAAGTTATCAGTAGCAAATACTGATAAGGACACAACTAATGATAGATAGAAACCAGGAAATGACACAACCCTCTGTTGAATCAACAAGCTGAAATAGAAAAGACATGATACCTTATCTACACTAAAAATACATACATATTTACAAGCTGCAGAATTAACACCTACTACACTTGGATCGATGCTCATAATATCAATCACTGGATTGTCTGGCCCAGACACAATTACTTTACAGTCCTCCGTCATATAGCTGGAATAATATTGCTGAGTGAGGAGTTAAACAACAAATAAATCGGCACTGTTGGCATGGTCAGACTATACAAATCAAATATTGTTCCATTTTGTGCACTGCTTGTATCTGAATAAAACATCGAATGACCAAATTGATTCTGTATTCAAGTCTAACTGTCATGACATATCTGACTTACTGAGCAATACCACTCACACAATCATTAATTAAGATGATATACATTTGAAATCACAAATTCAGATTAAATTGTAGTGAATAAATGTTCCTATGTTTATCGCCTAAAAAATGTCTGAATAATGTGCCGTCTCACATCAGCTCCATCATTTTGACATGTAACAGGTGGCACATAATTATTCACATTTGATGATGGAGGCACTAGATTATGCAACACAACACATGCCGCAACATAGGTCACAGCCTGTCTTGGGGTCGCCCTGAGCTCATTGTGCAGGCACTGAAACCGCCGTTTCAGGACACCAAAGGTCTGTTCAATGAGCACTCTTGTCCTGCACAATGACCCATTGTAACGTTCTCTGCACGGTTGGTGGGGTTCAGTACAGGCGTCAGGAGCAACCAACGACATGGGTAGCCAGAGTCCCCCAGCAGAAAACCTTTGTACTGTACTTAAACATAATAAAATAAGGTTATTTATTATTAAAAGAATAACAGATTGTTTTATGATTTGAATACTGGTAAAAAGTACATATAATGAATGAATAAAATTTGTCTCATCAAGAATTACAATATTTCAATATTTATCTTGAACATGATGAATGGAATAAACCTTTCTCCAGGAACAAATACATTCATCCTAATTAATGGAACTGTTTAGTTAAAAGATAACTTGTGAGAAAAAAATAATTGAAAATGAGGATATGAATCCAATCTAATTTATTAATTAAAATGGGTATGAAGATTCTGAGATTTTATACAGTGTCATATCCAGGGTTCCAAAGCAATTGCCATTTGTATGTCACTTCAATTCAATGAGACGTCATACAAAAATATCTGTATATTGATTTAAATTTACTAACTGATTAACTTGCTACTTCTTGACATCTTAACTAATAATTACAATAACAGAAATGATTATATATTATTTGTAACAGGATAAAATATATGCTTGTTCACTTGCAGAATACTTTCACCAAATTGTTCTAAAAACGTGTCTTACCATTTTCAGATTGCCTGCACAGTGCTGACGTCCGGAAAATGCGGCTGTCATGTACCGATCCCGGCCAGCTGGCGTTGCAACTTGTGATGTAAAAAATTGCATCACAGCACATCTGTGGGATAGCAAATCAGAAATTTAAACTCCAACTTACAATATATACATAAGACTTACAAATGTCACTCATCTCGCCACCCCTAAACCAACACATACATTATAACGAATACTTAAGGAGTAAAATTATGCCTATTTACCTGTACATTCAGGGAATGGTAACCTTTCCGGTTCACGAAGTCTCCCTCGTTAGCGGTAGGCCGCTGTATCCTGATAAACGTTCCATCAATACACCCTACTACGTTAGGGAATCCTGAAAGTAAAACGTGTCATGGTGTCACAATAGATAGCACACTGTACTGGGCAGCGTTTAATAGTTTTCATTTACAGCCCATCCTAAAATCTACCGCTTGATTATAATTTGATTTGATTTATATACATGAGCTCGACCTCTGACCCATATTCTTTTTACTGACCAATCAAAATGGCACTGACACAAATCACACCAATGAAATCATTTATTTTGTTTACATTGGGAAAATCCCATGTACGTACCTGCAATGTTGCTCGTACAGCGTCCCCTACAACTGGGAATTTAATGAACCTTCCTGACAGTTTAGCGCTTTGCAACGAAACTGCGCGTATGCATCTGCCAGCTGTAGATCGGGAAATGTTTAGGCTGTCCCCAACCAGCAGATGCATAGCGCCTGTCGCCAAAAAGCGAAGGCATACCAGCAACTGTAACAGTGGTGGAACCGCACAGTTACGAGCTGTCTCTCTGGTTAGATCGAGTAGACCAAGTAAATAATTTATAGTATTTGGCCTAAATCTATAACGTTCAAAAACTTCTTCCACATCTAAATCTTCCAGCGGGTTTGAACGATCTCGAAACACTCTCGGAACACGGGTTTTCCGCCTCGCTTGTCGAGTCTGTCGCAGATCAGCTGCCATTGCTGTTATCGAACTCAGCGTTGAGCACGGTCCAAAGCGTACTTGAGATTCTACGTATTTCATGCTCAAGTTGAGCACGAAAACGTACTCAGATTATTTATAACCTCCGTTTATTGAGTCTGAGTTTTGAGTTGAGCACGAAACCGGATTTGAGCATGAAATCGTACTCAGGGAAGTTTTATAACCTCGGGGCCTGGACAAGACATGCTTCCCCTTTTCTCGAACATCAGTGTCATCACTCATTATCATTATTAATTCATATAATTGTCACCGCTCTTTTACGGCCAATGAAATTTGTTTCGGCGGATAATCGAGGCTGGTTATTCTCTGGCCTTGACATGCTATATTTTTACCAGTCTGCAACAGATGACAGATGGTTACTCGGCCACTCACGTGATTTTAGGCAGTACGGTCACTACCAGGAATGGTCAGGGTACTTTCAGGTCAGGTCAGTAGGGTAATTCAGATTAGGAAAGGTCAGTTTCTTCTGTTCAGACAGGTTCGAAAGCTAGAAAGGCAGATCGTTCATTCCATGGAAAGTCAGATGCCCCCGTTTCAGATTCAGATTTCTCGTCAGTTGTTAGATGTAGATATTGTCACAAGCCACGCCCCATACTCATCACAAACATCAGAAACTTCTCCCCATGCTTTTGTG